ATTTTATCAAAAAACAAGAAAGATATTGAGACTTTAGTTTCAGCCAATCAGAGCGAAGCGCACGCGCTTGCACGTGCGATCTTGCTATTTTGACCATGTCATCTTGTGCATAATACTCATATATCCCTACATTATGAGTTTCAAAACATTTCGTCCAAAAATAGAAAAGTTACGGTTATATCCATTATATATTGGTCATTTCAAGTTTTGCACGTGCGCGCTCTTGCAAGCACGTGCGCGCAAAATGACCTTGATTCCGCAAATCTACATAACATGCCTACTTACCCTAAAAAGGTTTCCCCTTAATCGGATGTGTACTTTACAAGATCATTCGCGGACAAAATTTTCCCGAGAAGAATAATAATAATAACTAGAAAAGAAACTCGTTGCGAGCAACGAGAGGTCTTCCGTCCGATTCTGACCCCCCCCCCCCCTTTCGCAAAATCGAGCTGAAAAAGTGATAAAACTTTTTATGGAAACAAAGGAGATTGAACCCGGGTCGCCAGCATGGAAATATAAAGCGCTTACTGTTACGCTATTGGGACCACATCTCTAAATCTACTTGTATATTACTTCTGAAACATTTCATCTGTCTTAGAATAATGAAAGGCGGTCACTATTCATAATTTGGCGTTAAACGCCACGAGTTAATCTTCGTGCCAAACTTGCTCAAGATGATCACATCGGAACTTGTTACATGTACTTGAGTTTTAACAGTAATTTTTAGGATAGATAATTTATTAGTGATGAACAGATGATACTGTTTTCTTTCCTTTATTCGATATGTATTCAAATTTTTATTCCATGCAAAACCATATACAGGCATGCCTATGTTATATATTTCTGCACTATTGTCGCCATTTGTCTACTACTGAAGTCGGCCATGATACATTATATCGTGCCAAACGTCACAAGTAGTTCTTCGCGCTATTCCTTTGAAATGTTTGATCTATTTAATGGATCTGATAGCTTCAATGAAAATTAGAAATGTATGTTCTTATAACCGGAATTTCGAGCGTAAGAAAGTATATTTATCACATGGTACAAATATAATATCGTATACGGCCAAATAACACTAAAGCTGTGAATTCGGTGAGATTTTCCACGAATTTTGTATCCTGTTTACCCCCGACGGTCAAGGAATCTGATACTTTTCATGTTCAATAACTTGCATTTATTACAAGAATATTTATATTACCTTTAATAAACAATCTTTTTAAAAAAATGTTTTTCTTATTTTTGTCTTTTCTATTCATTTAATATGTCATAAGACTGCGAGGTAAAATAAACAGAAGTAAAGTAATACTTCAGAAACATAGTGAATATTAAGTCAGGCAAGTTTCTTGAAAAGCTATTAATTATAACCATGGTTTAGGATAAGTTTTCCCTGGTGCAAAACAAAAGACTGTATTCATCGTATTTCCACTTGTAGTCATGTTGTATTCTACTATTAGATGCAGACAAAAGCAATTTCAATAGAAGTTTGAGGAAACCTCATCAAACTATAGTCAATGCAACGTAATTGCGATGTAGCAATCTAAAGAATCCTTTACATTTCATAAATCTTTTTGGTAGAAGTTCCGTTCATCTAAACGCTCAGCTGACCTTCTAGAACCCGACTTGCTTAATGGCGGAGTTTACGGAGACCGCCGCCATCTTGGACACGCTTCAGATTTTTAAATGCGAATATCTAGTGTGTGGATTGATCAATTCTTAAATAAATTAAATATTTGGCCTTACCAGTAGGATCTTAATTACCATTAATTATATCAAAGAAAAATATTGAAAAACAAAAAAGTTAAAAAAGTGCACATTTTGAATTCATTTCCTGTAGCGACCGGAAGTACTGACGACGCAAACGAAGGCAAAATTGCACATCTACAACGCATGGTCTATCATCTCTAACAAGTCTCCAGTTAATATCTTGAGCCGTTTTTGAGAACATTCGAAGACAAAATTGCATTTTAAAATCAGGAAATTGTCCATTACTTGGCACTGGTAGCGAATTTTCCAACAAACGGAATTTTATATAAAATTCATATAGTGACTTATTATTCCTGAAATTTTCATTGAAATCCACTGAATAGTTTACGAGAAATCGCCTGCACAAAATTTTGTCTAAAAAAAAAGAATAATAATAAGAAACAATAGAATAACTATAAGGTCTTCCGTGAAGACGGAAGACCTTAATAATAATAATAATAATAACTAGTGCTAATTGTAACGGGGACCGTTACAGATGTTCCCCAAACGCTCCCCAACTCCTTTTTGGTGCCATATTCCCTGTAAGCTTCATTAAATAAGACAAACTCTGTGCATTTTGACTTTAACAACGTTTTCTCAGAAGGATACCAATTATATTCAAATTTTAGCATTGCACCCGTGCTCATGTGAATGCATGTCCGTTATGATCATATCATCTTGTCTACACTATCTACATATTTTAATATGCAATATATTAAAGCATTCAGTCCAAAAGTATGAAAAATCACTCTTTCAAGTGTATTTTTCATTTCACTCGTTCCAAATGCATGCACGTGCGTGCACGTGCATGATGACCATACCTTCTTGTAGGAGTCCCTTACATCTATCTATATTCTAAATCCCATCCTGTTTGGTTGAAAAACAAGGGAGTTATAGCCATTTCAAGTTTAAGCCAATCAGATTGCAGCACACGTGCATGCGCGTGATTTCATGATTTTTTTCTATATCACACTGTAGGATGTCCTAATGCATGACAATGTTTTAAATTTCAAAGCATTTCGTCAAAAAACAAAGTAGATTTAGCCATTTAAAGTTTCAGCCAATCAGATTTCAGGTTGCGGTCATGCGCATGCTTTCATGAAAATTCTTATATATCATGCTGTAGATTTTCATAATGTAGGTCTATGTTCAAAATTTCAAAGGATTATGCCAAGAAACAAGAAAGATATAGAGACTTTAGTTTCAGCCAATCAGAGCGAAGCACACGTGCATGCGCGTGCGATCTTGCTATTTTGACCATGTCATCTTGTGCATACTACTTATATATACTTATAAAATGAGTTTCAAAGCATTTAATCAATAATTTTAATAGTTACGTCTGTATCAATTATATTGGACATTTCTCGTGTTGCACGTGCGAGCTCTTGCAAGCACATGTGCATGCACATGCTTTCATGAAAAATCTTATATTACAGGCTGTAGATCTCCCTAATGTATGACTATGTTCAAAATTTCAAATGATTTTATCAATAAACAAAAAAGATATTGAGACTTTAGTTTCAGCCAATCAGAGCGAAGCACACGTGCACGTGCGTGCGATCTTGCTATTTTGACCATGTCATCTTGTGCATATTACTAATATATCCTTACATTATAAGTTTCAAAACATTTCGTCACAAAATAGAGAAGTTACGGTTATATCCATTATATATTGGTCATTTTAAGTTTTGCACGTGCGCGCTCTTGCAAGCACGTGCGCGCAAAATGACCTTGATTCCGCAAATCTACATAACATGCCTACTTACCCTAAAAAGGTTTCACCTAAGTCTGATGTGTAGTTTACAAGATCACTCGCGGACAAAATTTTCCCAGGAAGAAAAATAATAATAAGAATAAGAATAACTAGTGCTAATTGTAACGGGGACCGTTACAGATGTTCCCCAAACGCTCCCCAACTCCCTTTTATAATCATATTCCCTGTAGGCGTAATTAAATAAGACAAACTCTATGCATTTGAGACTTTAACAACGTTTACCAAGAAGTGTACCATGTTCATTCAAATTTTATTATTGCACACTTGCGCATGTGAATGCATGTGCGTAATGACCATATCATATTGTCTACACAATCTATATATTTTAATATGCTAAATATAATCCAAAAGTATATAAAAAAACGGTCATTTAAGTGTATTTTTGATTTTACCCATTTCACGTGCACGCACGTGCATACATGAGCATTATGACCATACATTCTTGTAGAAGTCCATTACATCTATCTATGTTCTAAATCCCACCCCGTTTGGTTGAAAACCAAGGGAGTTATACCTGTTTAAAGTTTCAGCCAATCAGATTGCAGCGCATGTACACGCACATGTATGCCTGTGCATAGTGACCATACCTTCTTGTAGAAGTCCAGTATATATATCTATGTTCCAAATCCCATCCTGTTTGGTTGAAAACCAAGGGAGTTATGGCTGTTTAAAGTTTCAGCCAATCAGATTGCAGCGCACGTACACGCACATGTATGCCTGTGCATGGTGACCATACCTTCTTGTAGAAGTCGATTATATATATCTATGTTCCAAATCTTATCCTGTTTGGTTGAAAACCAAGGGAGTTATAGCAATTTAAAGTTTCAGCCAATCAGATTGCAGCGCACGTGCATGCACGTGTTTTCATGATAATTGCTATATACCATGTTGTAGGATATCCTTATGCATGGCTATGTTCAAAATTTCAAAGGATTTCGTCAAAAAACAAGAAAGATATAGAGACTTTAGTTTCAGCCAATCAGAGCAAAGCGCACGTGCATGCGCGTGAGATCTTGCTATTTTGACCATGTCATCTTGTCTATAGTTCTAATATATCTTTACACTATGAGTTTCAAAGCATTTCATCAAAAAAAAGAAAAGTTAAGGCAATATACATTATATTGGTCATTTCACATGATGCACGTGCGCTCTTGCAAGCACGTGCGCACAAAATGACCTTGATTCCGCAAATCTACATAACATGTCTACTGACCCTAAAAAGGTTTTACCTACATCGGATCAACAGTTTACAAGATCACTCCCGGACAAAAAAGTACCCAGGAAGAAGAAGAAGAAGAAAAATAATAATAATAAGAAACAGAGTAAAAACAATATGTTCCCCAACTTCGTTTGGGGAACATAATAATAATAAGAAACAGAGTAAAAACAATATGTTCCCCAACTTCGTTTGGGGAACATAATAAGAAACAGAGTAAAAACAATATGTTCCCCAACTTCGTTTGGGGAACATAATTTACGGGTACCAGTAAATGCTCTACAGAACTTTTTGCTTTACTTTCCATTAAAATATACATAGAAGTGAAGGGCAAACTTCAAAAGTTCTGTAAAAGAGTATATTTGGAGAATTAGTATAAATTAGATATTCATGTGTAGATATTTAGAAATTCTTTGAGAATTTGAAATCTCAAAATATCCCACCGAGTAAATAAGTCAAATACTTTATACAAATGAAATATGCAGATAATGAACAGCAATCAAGCTCAAAAATTCATTGAAACTCTCTTATAAATCGGCAGCAAAGAAAACACGGACCTCTTAAAACAGCAGAGATAAATTAAAATCCACATTTTGTGAAATCACAGACAACTGCTTTTTCGATAAAAATGGACCTCGAGTTCAATTAAATCTATTCTGAAACTATATTGCTTTATAGTGATTTGAACATTTTGTTTGAAAGTAAAGTAAGGAAAGTAAAGTAATTATAACAAAGTATTACAATGAAAAGAAGAATATTTTTGCACCGTACTAAGGTGCCTAGATGTCATTAGATGATAAAAAAAATTATTTCGTATTCGTAGGAAATTTTCTGAGGAAAAGGTTTATACTTTAAACATTGACATACCAAGTAACAATTACAGACACCCCATAGACCATCTTGTACACAATACAACCAAAAGAAACTGATTACATAAAATTAAAAACGTCCTTCTTGGATAGTAAGATTGACAGTAGGAATAGAAGAAACAACATCAATCTTTCGACCATCTGTGGACGGTTCTCGTAGTTTTGAGTATAAAATACGACTGCAAACCATGCCCAGTATGACAAACACCAGACCGATACCAGACAGAATGATAGATAAGGGTGTTTGAACTTCAATCTCTATGATTTTAAGGTTCAAAAGACTGAGTGTAGATTCCACAGTGTCCAATGCCACTTGAACCGTTGCAACGACCATTCGTATAATCAAGAAGGATTCAGATAAAGCTGTAAAAGAATATAAGAGATAATAAAGTAGTCTAAAAAAGGGAAAAATCATTAACATTATCGTGAAACCTCTGTTTTTCTTTTGATGATATATTTTGAAAAATGCTTAGCTTAACCCTAGCGAAATTTTTTGCTTCAAAAGATTTAGTCATTATTTATTATCCTATAATTTACGTTTATGCTTTTCGTTGCGTATTAAAAAATCTTTTATATCTGTTAAATGTGATGAATTAAAAAAAATTCTTTCAATTGGAATTATATACACATCATCAGTGTACGTATTACTGAAATAATGTAAAGCCATTTGGAGGCACAACATTTGTAGTCTTACTAGCCAAAAGTATAACAATTCCACCGGCTTTAACCTTCGATGATGATCCACAGTTTAACATAAGAAGTAAAAAGCCAATGACACATAATGAAAGGGCAACTGTACTCGTTATTTTAAGTTCTAATAACTTAGCTGAAAGAAAACCAGAAACAAGACATATAAGCCTAGCTCGTTTTTCCAAGAAATTAACGGTACAAATAAAATGTTCTTTTGCACTGATTGAAAAAGCATATAAAATTTTATGATAAGTCGAGTATAAATGAAATTAAAAAGCTATCTTTGAAATTTATCTCTCATTCTTGGAAATATTTTAATGTTGGTAATTTCCCGCAGTATGATTGCATGAAAAACGCTCTATATAGGAATTTATTTCTACTAAGAGAAGAAAAATGTAGAAGCTTACGGAGTTTTTCCACCACAGCATATACTGGTGAAGGAAGTTTGTCGAGGGGGACACGAAGGCAATTACCACTTGTACACAGCGTACAATGAAATATGCCCAGTTCAACACGAACTGGTGGCAAAGAAATCTAAAATAATAAATAATAATAATGTGAAATAATAATTATGTAATCCTGAAAGTTTCACAAATTTTGTTTATCGATTACAATATTAAAATCCGAGCTACATATTTAAAAAGGATGAGTGAATATTATCCAAACAAGAGGCCCACGGGCCTTATAGGTCACCTGAGTATCATGTAACAACTTTCCAGTGATTGTATTTGATTCGTGTTTTTATCCAAAAGCCATGAAATTCACAAATTTTGAAGGAGGCACCATTGCTTATCAAAGGGCAGATTTCAAAGCATTAATTTATTTTTAGTCAAAGTACCCCCTGATACCCCTGACCCAGTGGCCCTAAAATCATCTATTTTGAAAGAGACCCCTTTCTTCATTATAAGGCCAGCATTTTTTTTATGTTTAGGTTTAGTAATGAAGATGAGAATAAAAAAGTCCTGAAGGAGAAGGAAATAAAAAAAAAATTGATAAATCAATTATTAACATTTGTATATTCTTTTTAATGCTATTCTAATAGGCTCCTTACCACTGGACACATAATGCTTACAAATAGGAAAGTAGAACATTTAATTGCTTATTTCATCATCCAGTTTGGGCCAGTTATATAAATTGTGTGATGCTGGTCAAAATATCTTTTAAAAAATTAAAAAATCAATTCTTTAAAAGTCTTTCAATATATCTTCATTCTTTAAATATGTGTTAGGTGAATGTGTAGACATTGTTCTAAAATTTACTTGATGCCTAAAATTATAATTCCTATATCATAAAACAGACAGGGTGTATTGGGAAGTAGGATGAACATTTTTTCAATTAAGTGTAAAATAATTTTTTCTCGCTGATACAAATGATACAACATGCCTGTATATATTTGTATATTCATTTCTTGCCGCCTTTTAAAAGTTGAATTTTTTTTATTTCTTCAGGTTATTTTTTATTTCTTTCTCAAATGGACTTGACTTCTCCCATAGTTTTATTCATAACATCTGATGCATAAGCAACCCTTTTCTGAAGAATGATGCTTAGACTGTAAGCTATAACAGAGACCTAAACTGTAACAATGTCGCTGGCAATATGCAATAGCTACCACGGGCAGTTTAAAACCTGAGGGAGGAAAATAATTTACAGACAGATACATGTACTTTTGAAACGAATACATAATTATCTCACCAGCATGTCATTGTGCAGCAAAGTCGTCAGCATTTTATTTGTCCTTTAAACGGGTGAAACGTTCTGAATGGCAATCGTATCAATGAATTTTACACTAAACCAAGCTATCTTCTCAGATCTAGCTTTATTTACCCGCCGTTTCATCTTATAACCGGAAGTGCGAGTTCGTAAATTTGAAATATCGATCCCGACTCAAATTTGACATCGGAAAGAAAAGAATTTATTTTTTTTTCTGAAAATTCAAAACCTTGAGCAGAGGGTTTGTAAAACTGGAAGTAAAATAAATCCTGGCCTTAAATATGTAATTAGATCATTAGTATATTAACCAGGAGTAAAGGATAAAATGTTCAAAGAATTCATGCATTTCACTATATAATCATTAGAGCCCCACCTTAAAACAAGAACCCCTGACCCTGGGGTCATAAAATTCACAATTTTGGTAGAGGCACTCTTGCTCATCATAACCATGTACTTAGTTAGTTTATTTAATACCCAGGAGCAGAGAAGAAGATTTTTAAAGAATTCATGTATTTTCATTATATAATCAATAGATCCCCGCCTCAACACCAGAACCCCTGACCCTGGGGCCATAAAATTCACAATTTTGGTAGAGGCACTCTTGCTCATCATAACTATGTACTCAGTTGGTTTATTTAATACCTAGGAGCAGAGAAGAAGATTTTCAAAGAAATAATGCATTTTCACAACCTACTTATTAGCCCCGCCCTAGCACTAGAACCCCTGACCCCAGGGCCATGAATTTCACAATTTTGGTAGAGGACGCAGTGCTGATTACAATCATGCAAACAGTTTGACTTCTTGATGTCCAGGAGTAAAGATTTTTAAAGATTGCATTAATTTTAGTGGTTTTGGCCCCACCCCTCAGACCCCAGGGGGGCAGGAATCATGAAATTCACAATTTTTTGTTCCCCTTCACCCATAGATGCTTTGTGCCAAATTTGGTTGAAATTGGTTCAGTGCTTGCAAAGCACAAGCTGAAAATGTTCAAATGTTAACGCACGAAGGACGACGCACAACGCACGACGACAGACGAAAACAGATAGCAATAGGTAACCTGAGTTGACCTAAAAATTGGTTAAATTATTCTTCCAAACAAAGAATAAATTTTTAAAATACATCCAAACTTTTAAACTGGGAGAATTTAATTTTTTATAGAAGAAAATTATCTTACTCTTTTAGAAGGAATGATGTTGTTGAGATTCAAAAGCGAGTTTAGGGACAAAATATTCTGCAAAATAAAGGATAATTTTACTGATTACTGCATCACTGGAAGAATAGGGGAATTTATTTTAAGGTTAAGTTTAAGGTTGCATTCATAATTAAATAAGTTTTATCAACACATACACGTAGATCTGTATATCAATGCCTCTTTAATTAATAAACGTAGCATTTAAATACTTTTCTCTTCATCTTCCTATAAAAATGTTACGAATTTTTAATGTAAATTTTTTCAATTATTCCATTTTTATCCATCTATCAATGTTGTATAAGTATCACTTTTAAAAAAATGAAGTTTATATTCTTTCCCTTATGTTATTGGCGTCTGGATACACACAATGCTAAAGCAAGTAAAGGAGCACATAAACAGCTTACCTCAAGAATAGATGTCGGCTGAATGCTGCTTGTTTTTAAAGTTACAACAAACCAGCCTCTTGTTAAAATGGACGCCAACCACAGACCCAAAGCAATAAACACTGTCATCAAAGTTAACAAGAATACCAGCCTTCTGTCCATCTTGATTTTCTACTGTTTGAAAAAGTTGAAAGCTGTTAAAATATTTTCAAACTGTCACTCCATGCATAAATGAATTATGTCTTTCGCTTTTGTGCATTAAATGTAAAAGTTTAATTAGTTTTAACTTTGCAACCATCCCTACTTCATTTTAGACGAATTAATTAGTTAATTAATTAAATAAACGGCAAACTCACCTATTAAGTCAAGAAAAATCAACAGAATGTGTTAAAAATATATCAACGAAGTTGATTTAATTTATTCACATAATTCAAACAGCATGAGAAAAATGCATGGTACTTACCATTATGTAGTAACCATGTCTAAAAAAACAGTATACCATTATACATGCAAATAAATGCCTTTTATCTGAAAGTTTTCCAGCCTTTTTTATCATTTCGATGATATAACTACAAGTACACGTGTAAATAAACTACTTAGTATTTTGTTTTGAACAGTTCACGTGTAAATAAACTATTTTGTGATTTTTTTTTAGCTCACCAAACCCTATTTTATACCTACTTTGGCTAAATACATGTAAGATATTTACTACAACTATTAATCTTTGGAACAAATATTTCCATCATAAGTTTTGCAAAATAGACTATATATGCATTGTTTTAAGACATGGCAAGTTTTTGTGCTCATTTAACAGACAGGAATATCAATTAGCTTTTTTCAAAGGTTTTCAAATTTGATTATTAGAGGGGAAAATATCGCAGCGCGACATGGGAGTATTCCAAATTACAAAAATAGATAAATAAATAAAAGTTAAGTGCCAATTTAAAGGCTAAGACTTGGATTGAAGACGAATTAACCCCCCCCCCCTATTAATTCCTTAAATCAACTTTTAAACAGAAAGGTATTTTTGGAATAAGCCTAATTTAATGTGATCCATTTGTAGTATCTTTAAGTCAAGACGTGATTGACTCAAATTAAGATTGATTAATTGGTTGTTTATTGTTTAACGTCCCTTTGTCAAATGAATATTCTTAAAGTGTAATCAAAGTTTGTTTTTGAAGCATATCAGGTGAGCTCTGTATCCCAGCGTATTATGAAGAAATGTCTGAAAGTAAAAATAATAATAACAACCATAAAAACTTCCTGTTTTCTTAACTATTAGTATACAAATGACGTATTACACTTGTCGATCAACCTTTTTAGCCTACTTTTATTTGAAATAAAATGTGACTGTTTACCATAAAACAGGGGATACAGTGATATAATTATTTCCGTAAAATGAAACTTACTTTTATAAATGGTAATGTTGATTTGCAAAACAACAAACAAATGATATAAATATTATGATTTATCTGTTAATTAGCATACTGTGCATTTATTTCATTAAAAAGAATATTCTATTTCTTTTACACATCCACAATAAATTAGTAACGAGTTTTAAAAATATTTTTTTTATCTATTTTGTCTTTTCAATAATTATTTTCTAATAAAACGTTGTTTTGACTTTAGGAATGATACATTATCAACATGTTGAAGTCCCAAATTGTGCTCAAATTGTCATAATTAATAAGTTAGTCATTTAAGAGATGAAAAACAGAACGTCCTATTCAACGTCCTAGAAGCATCCTACTCGAACTACAGTAACTTTAAAATGTTTTTGTAAGCCAAATTGACGCTGCCAAGCTAGTAGTTTGCATTTGCAAAGAAGAGTGATAATAATTTCATTTTGGAAAATGGATATTTACAGGGTATTTGTATAAAAAAAATTGCTTTATTTCTAGATAAAAATTTTAGTTAAAACGTTTACTTTTTGGTAGTTTTCGTATTTAACTAAAATTTCCAGAAATTCGTAGTTTTTCATGAGCCTCTCATTATGACTGTGTTCTTTAATGTTTGATATCAGAGTCAAAACATGGAATTTGCAACCTCTAATTAAATAAATGTTTTGAAATACTTAAGTATTAAGTTTAATATAAATGTAAATAATTATGAAAGACAATTAAATGAATAGCAAAAACCAAAAAAGAAATTACTAAATGTACATGTTTAGTGTTGGTACGAAAGTTTAAATTACATACATTGTCGTTGTCATTATATCCTGTGTAGAAAAAAGTTACCCACTTGACAAACTTATATCTGTTGAAGGGCTAATGACACAGTTTCCCATTCCGGAAACCACTTTTTGAAACTAAATTCGAACGACTTTAGATACTTTATACAAGTGCAAAAAAAAGCCATCTGCCCCACTTTTATAATGATCCATGAATAATTTTTCAAATTAGATGAAAAAATATCCAATTTGGATATCCAAATATCCAAGTTTTTTCATAGGAATTTTATTTTATGAAGCACAATCTATTCAGAAAATTCAAATCTCTTGTTCTGGCATTTAAGTCAACATTTAAGTATATTGACGGCATTTTATAAATTACATGTAAAATGTTTTTCCTCTTACATGTTTTTGTAACCATATGAGCTCGAAATAAAAGAAACGTAGAGTATTATAATTGTTTTATAGTCAAGACGTGATTGACTCAAACTCAAGGTCAAAGCAGTGACATTGTCGGGCGAATGTAATCTGTTGAATTTAGCGTTTACTGGCGTTTTATACAGATGTCATGGAATTAATTGAACACATTAAACTAATTGTATCATAATGGATTTTTCTGCATGCCCAATCATGATAAGGAGCATACAACATTTGTGTCCGGTAAACAGGGTGTGCTTCCTAGTATTCCTTCATCGAACCTGTTCTCGATCTTATGTGTTTGTTGGTCCATACTTGCTGAGTCCCCATTTTGTACTGTTTAAATAGACTTTTGAGTGTGAATCTTTTCGTTTTTGTCAACTTCACTGATTGGACATGGAAAATAGAATTCAATTATAAAACAAATGGTCTGTAATAATACAGGTCAAATTATATGTATAATCTAAACATCAATTATTCTTTCAAACAAATTAAATGAATTAAGGAACGTGGTTAAAGACGTACTAAAAAAAATTCTCCGGTTTTTTATTCTTTTCCAATAAAATTTTCTCCAATTATGATTTCCCAGTAAACGCAAGAATTAAATTGCATTCAAAAACTGAATTTTTTAAATAGAAGTTTTCTTTCAATACATTTAAATTTTGCCGTATTGTACAATAATAAGAGTACTTCATTTATGTGAAGAAATAACAATCTACGTTATCGTTATCTTTTCAGCTGCCTATTATACATGATGTTACTTTCATAAAAAATTTCTTTTCAAATTTCAATTATAAATCTTAAATGTTAATGATGTTACAAATGACCATTGCATCACACCTTAATACAGCATACCGTCTTGGTGAATGCGATGTATGACTTTTTGTCATATAATTGGATTTGGAGTTGTCTGCGGTCGAAAATTTAAAAAAAAAAAATTGTAACAATAGAAACACATAAACAAATAATAATTTTATGGTCTAGACTTCATTCTCGATCTTGGATGACGTGAGGATGAATTAATCATATGCTGTAATTAATGCCCTTAAATGCTGTTTAGTATGTGCACTTTAGTTTTTTTTTTTATTTTAAAGTATTTGTAATCGTTCATTTGCATACTGCTACATTTAATAAATCTTTTGCAAAATTATTTATGGCGATTCTGACATTTTTTTTTACTTATTCCTTATATAATATGTGAAAAAGATAGCAGTATCTATTATCAGTATTACATATTTTTCGATAAATAGAGCCAAATTGTATGTTGTGCATGTTACTATACTGTGCAGTTCAGCTTATGTAGAATTCTCCATTGAAAATGGAAATTAGTCATTGTCTTGTTGATTCGTGATTCTATTGGGAGAGGTGGATTGACCATTTATGGACTGTTCTTTTATTCTTGGGTACGGATAACGGGCAGAATCCACACCTTAACCCCTTCCATGGCAAAGATTTTTAGCATTTCTAGACAAAATTATCATGATATTAAGATTTCGATGCATTTTTTAGTATTTCTTGTAATTTTTGTATTTACCAATGTATATATATTCTAAAAGTTGGTATTGTGTAGATTCTGCAAATAATTATAAAAATATCATTTCAGTTGCATAGGAACGAAATTCACCATAATTATGCTGGAATTTACATTTATTCAAAAATGAGTTTCATTCTATTTTTTTTTTTTTTGGTTTGTTAAAAATATTTTATTGTTGTGTTGACAATTATAAGCATGTTGTACATTTTTTTTTATACAAACCAATTTAAGTATTTTGGGGGATGGGATGGGGTTGAGAGGTAATCACAAGAATTTAGCATTTTTACATATGATGTGTTACCCCTGCATTGATTTCGATGATGGCAAAATCGCTCAAATAGCGCGCAAAGTTTAACTCAAGCTAGCAGAAAACTGGTACAACCAATTAAAAAAAATTCTGTATATATTATTTTATTGTAATAATTTTCTCTTTCCAACGCTGCAAGATTTAGATATGTGAAGTATTAATGAAGTTAGGTTTTTTTTCACACTATACTCGTTTTTCAAGTAAGATACGTAGAAATGTGTATATGTCATTAAGGTTATCCGATCCTCAGGTTCTGCAAATCAGGCATTGAGTAATTGAAAATGCTCACAAAGATGTCTCTAAATTCTCAAATTTAAATGTATTTACCCACTGTGTTTCTTTTAACTTCATCTTTAAATTTAATCATATTATATAATAAAATTAGTAAATCTCAAGTAATTTTTAAGGAAATGCGATTTGAACTACCTACTGCATATTGTTTTAATTGATAATTGATCAAGAAATATATTTTAGGGAAAAAAATCATAGGTATCCAGGCTTTTAAAGAAAATTGCATGAATTTTACACTTATTTTGGTACTTTACTTTCGCCTACTTACTTCCATCGTTTCATGATGCATAGTGTATGAAGTATTTCCTTTCAAAGAAAACACTGTAAATAACTTCTAATTCAAATCATGCTTATAAACATTGGTAACTAAGGCTTAATCAAAAGGAATCAGATTTTTTTTTAATATACAAGTTTCACTCATTTTATGATGTACAAATGTCAACTTCTTGAATAACCTTTGTTAAAACTTTAAAGAACATTGAATCATACGTAGAGGCATGAAATGAAAATTGTTGCATGAAAAATTTCAATTTCAAGCTTTATTTGAAGACTTTTTGAATTAAATCATAAATTAAAGAGTTATTCTTCCTGGCTGAGGATCGTATATCCTTAAGTTAAAACCAACCAGAACGATGGAGTATGGAGAGTTTAAACGTCAACCGTTCAAATGTCCGAGAGTATTATAATCATTAGAATCATGTATCGATGAACCGGTACATTGATGCAAAATTAAACTACATTAGCTATTTGTAGTTTTATCTCGAACAAAGACATTGGAAATGTAAACAAAGGAATATCCTCAGTTATCCTGAAAAATAAAATCATCTTACCTTAGGTTACTCACTTACTCTTTGTTCTTATCAATTTTTGTTTGAGATAATGATTTTAAGTACATTAATCAAACGAGCTTTAAGGACGAGTCATTCATTAGTTTACATTAAAAATTTACATAGAAAAACTCCCTTTCTTATTGAAATCTTTGGTGCATGATTCATTAAAAAAAACGATAATATATGTTATACATTCTTAATTTTTGTATTAAATGCAAAATGCGTGTTGTGTGAATTGTAGAATTGTAGTTATTAGTTCCATAAATTTAGTTTCTGTATTTAGAATATTCTCAAAACAATCTAATGGACATATATGTGACGCACAGATATTGTACTGTTGATCATAAAATAGATTACTTGTATTGTAATTAGTAAGCACATATACATTGTTTACATATGCAACAATAAAACTTGTTTATGAAAAGAAAAAAATCATAAATGTACCCAAAAAAATGGCGTCGTTAAATAAAACATCTACTAAATTGAAAATTATCATAACATATTTATTTATGTGCATTATTCTTAATTTTAAAAATCCATATACAGTAAATAAACAATGATGCATGCGTAATAGAATTTTTCAAATTAGACATCTAATCTTAAAAGTGTAAATTTGATAGGAAAGGAGATCGGAAACAAATTCGTCACCCGTCCGTCGGCGGTCTCATGTCCCAATTTTAAGTACAACGCTCTACAGAAGCATAGCGCAAGGAGACTGAATATAATCCCAAAGCAGGCAAGAATCACGGAATAAGGGACATCGAGCTCGAGGTCAAAATCCACTATATCATCCTTCGCGTCTGTGTTTGCTACGATCATCCGGATAACCAGGATTGACTCCAGTACAACTTAAAAAACAGAACAAAATTATTCATTTCAGGAAAACAATTTTTTTTAAAAAAAATCGAGTTCTTTACATTCAAGTTACATCTTCATAAACATGTATTCAAAATGAATGATTATGTGATCTTGGAAGATAAATTAACCTGTTCAGTAAAAGAAATCCAAAAAGCTCTCTTAAAACAGCATCTTTTTAATTTAAAAGGCTGAATATTTTGAAATACCGGTATGCCATACATGTATGCCGACAAGGGATCCGTCAGTGGGATAGAATTATGCATGGCATTATCTACTATCTTTGTTTAATTCATTTCAGTACTAGTAATATTTTAAATGCTTTAAATACTGTAGAACATATTGTAATAAACATTTTTAAAGAGAGGACGTCTTACCAGCCAAACTTATGAAACTTCCTCCAGTTACAACTCTTGAGGATTTTCCAAAGTTTAAAAGAAGGCAAAGGAACCCCAAAACACAAAGACATAAAGCCGAAATGCTTTCACCTTGAATTTCAGTCAGTCCAGCTAATTGAATGAAATATCAGGTGAAGGTATTAGATTAACCGATAAAAATATTTGAAAATTATTGCAGAAAAAAACCCAATTACTAAAAGCTTTATATATGTAAAACGTAAAATTCATCAAAAGTCTAATAAATTCATGAAGTTTATTGAAAAAATTCTTTTTATCGGAATTTTGAAAATTAATTTATGGCAAAAACAGTTTAAAAACATAAATTTTTATAAAATAATTTATTAACTGGAACTTAATAATTAACGTATTGTGTTTTACTTACGTAGACTGTCTATTGCGTCCTTAGACAATCTTTTGAACTCTTTATAATTCATTTTGACACATTTTCCAGATTCACACACTTTCAGGTAAAATATGCTCATCTCTATAGAGTATTTTATCTAGAAAAGGAAATTGATTTTTTTTTCAAAATTCACGTGGTATTATATTGGTCTTACAATATACTATTATTTTACCCGAAGAAAAATCTTAGTATTTACACGTGATGTTGTCCTTATGTTGAAAAACTATAATAGCATTAATAAATGCACATAAACTTTAAATTAAATTGAATTATTTACTGTATATTCACATGTAATTCCCAAATTGTACATACACCGTACATAACTGATAAAAAAAATTAAGATTCATAGCTTTCAAATCTCAAAGATGTTCTCTGGTAAAGTTTCATAGTAAATAAAAGTATCAACTTGAACGTCATTTTACTTGAAAAAACAGGTTACAGTAAAATGTAGTTGGATTTTCGTAAGAGTGTATTTAATTTAAGTTAGTATAAATTAATTAGCAAATATTGAATCATGCAGCGATTCCTCTGGTCAGGAACCTGAATTAATCAGTAAGTATTTAAAACTTCAATTATTAATTAATACAGTTACATTGTTATTGTATTACTTATACAGTATATTACCGTTTCAGTGCGAGAAAGGAAATCTGTGTTCGATTGAGAGTAGTCATACTAAAAAAAAAAAAATCAAAAAAATTCGTTCACTTTATGGTATATAACTTTCATAATTATGAATATTTCTTCAAACCGGCTTGTGGAAAATTCTTCTAACGAAAACTTACACTTATTTTATGAGAATGTTTATATATGGCCATCAAAAATATCTAATGAAGGAAAATCAACAATCTTATATAATTACTATCTTAAAATGACATAAAAAGTTTTTTTAATTCATGTACGTACGTAGCACCTCATTTCCGTGACTTACCTCGTCAATGTCCGATGTTTTTGTTTCCTCCCATCTTAAGATAAACCACCCAGGAGAAACCATGGCTGCAAGCCAAAACCAAAATGTAACAAACATCAAGGACAAAGCCACCATTACCGGTCTGGTCTTGCATATTTCGACAACCTGAAAATAACATCATACCTTCTATATAACATTTTACTGTTATAAAAGCTTCATCTATGACAACACTAAGTATTTTTTGAATTTTTCATTTTCTTTTTCTCTTTTTTGTCTTTTGGTCCTTCAGATGAGATAAACTGAGGTCCCGTGCCGCAGTAGTACAAACATTTTAATTTCTGCTTGAATAACAGCATTGTTTTAGCATTGTCTAAACTAGCACTAACCCTTTCAGGGAACAAAAAACATGAACAGAACTAACATAGCAAGCAGAAACCCATGTAGAATGGGAATAAACTTACTAGCTTAAAAAATAAAAATAAACAATGAAATCCAGATTGATTTTCAAATATTCGTAAACGAAAAAGCTTTTGTCTAGTTTTTTTTTCTTAAAGCAGCAGAGGTAGAAAGAAAAGAGTCATGAAAAGAATTAACTAGATTAACTATAATTAATCTAAAAGACAAGGGAATAGTCCAAGCCTTTGTAAAAAATAATTTATTCAAGAATGAGCACCGTTAATATAAGTTAAAGTAAATATGGTTAGTCTACTTTTGGACCATTCACTCAACTAACCTTTTCTGTAAACTTCCGTTCTTCATGTTGTTCGTGTTCACGTTCTTCATGTTGTTCGTGTTCACGTTCTTCATGTTGTTCGTGTTCATGTTCTTCATGTTGCTCAAGTTCTCTCTCCTCCATTTGTAAAGCAAGTGAACCCCTCAGTGAAGTTAAGCTCTTTTAATACTCTTCCTTGATCATGTGATGTTATGCAGCCAGTACTAGTATCAGAATTCTAGACCCATCTTCAGTCTCTATTGGCAGATTTTAAAATTCTATATTATCAGCGAAGGCTGACAGATATTTCCCATCCTGTACAATGCAATATACATATCATTTTCCATATCGTTCTTTCAGCAACACCTATATGCAAATGCAAATGCAGTAAAGGAAATGAAAATTATTTTTTTGATAATTCATCACATTAAATCAACAGATTTCTGAAGTTCTGTAAGGAATAAAAGGGGTTCAGACATATCTTTTATATCAAAACATTGAAATTATATCGACATTTGAAAAAAAAATGCAGGCCCATCTACTGAATGATACTGAATACTAAGAATTTCAACTTCTCTCTAAAATTACCATGAAACGCAGTACTAGCAAATTTATTTTAAAATTCTAAAATTTCATTTGGTGCATCAATACTAGAATCACTAGCTGATTAAAAACAAAATGTTTATTAACCACTCATACTGTTACAGAATTCCAAAATTTTTAGGCACTGTGAATTTCTGAAAGCCAGAACAGTTACTGCTCAGTTCTAGTTAAGTCAAAGTCAATGTAAAAATCATGCAAAGTTGGATGTAAGTGATTGACTGAATTTATAGAATTTGAAGAAAACAAACAATATTCAAGCAGAAAATCCGCTTAAACAACAAAAATCCGAAAAAGAGCAAACACTAACCTCTAAAACATTGGATCAGGTGCCATGGAGAAATGAGATTCCCCTGCCTTTGGAACACACCCGCCGTGTCAAGCCTGGAAATTAACGGGAAGAAATCCGTCGATTATTCAATGTGTAAATAATTTTCTAACAACTAGTATGAAAAAATATTCAGTATTTACTGGCAAAAGGTGATTTCACCTATTTGAATAGATGATATTATTTATTGGAATAGGTGGTATCACCTACTCGAATTGGTGACATCATTTATTCGAATTGGTGATACCCCCTATTCTTTTTCCATTTTTGTCTTTTAACAATATTCTTAATTAATGATAGTTTTTGTGCTCATTTAGGTCATTGTATCGACCATATAACTAAAATTATGACTAAGCGAGGATTTAACAACTTTTTTGTCATTTAACTTACCTCGTTTTAAAAATTGTTCATACGAGAGTTATTTCAGAAATAATATCCTGAGCTCTATGACATACAACATAAATTACATTAATGACAGATGATAAAGAAACTTTTGTCAAAAAAAAATGAAAATACTAGTAACAACCTGAGTTATGTTTTAACGAGTAAAATGACGGTTTTACCGCAAAGTTTTTAATTGTTTAATATATTCAAATTTTCGCAAATATGGAATTTGAAATAAAAAATATTTGTACAGATGTATAAGGATGATTCAGACAGTCAGAATTTGGAACATTATAGAAGGTTATATTTCTTTATATTCTAATCATTTCTTTCATCATTTTCAATGATCAATGAAATTGGACAAAAAATTATATACCAATCCAGGCATCCATGTTTTGCATCATTTTCAATGAAATGAAACACTGAAAGGTTTTATAAAAGAGGGAGGAACCAGAATCAGGAATCAACTACTAATATCAAATTTCTTCATGACAGCGACCAAACCTAGAGGCCAAGAAGAGTAAAGGAGTTTCGGTGACAAACAGAAAGTAAATGTTTTGTCACGCCAACAACATTCGCCAGATCTTTCACCCTTTGACTCATTTCATTTTCCAAACTTGAAAAAAAAAATTACTCCAAGAAATCATTGGATTTGTCATATTCCAGTATACGAAGGGTCATACCCAAAAATGTGTTCTAAAACAATCAGAAATCGAATAAAAATGTTACTGACAAACGTTAGAAGAGAATATTTAAGTGAAATCATTAAGATTAAGTAATTGAAAAGAGTTTTGTTTCTTTCCAAACTTCGAGGACATTAATTATATATTGAATAGCCCTTGTATATGTAGAGCAAACTCTTGCGTGTCGTATCAATTAAAATTGGTTTGAAAATATTTTATTGTAATACAATTACAAAGGGATTAGGCACAAGTTCTGAAAAATTATAACGCCCTCTCCCTACATGTACATTAAACATTTATATTGTCACGGTTAAACATGCTATATAAATTATTCAGTATTTGCCAAAGTAAACAATTGATGCATTTTACAGATATGTATAAATACATACAAAGTTGAGAAAAAAAACATATATTTGGTACAGTAATTCAAGGAAATCTACCAGAATCCTTTATAAATGTTTGAACTAAAGAATATAAATGTTTGAACTAAAGAAATTAAAATAAATCAATTAAAATTAAAAGATATACCCCCCAGATGCAGGTGTTTTAATTATGCATCATGACATGTATCATGACTTTCGTGAATGGTCTGTGGCAATCTCCTCAAATTCTGAAAAATTTCTTTTAAAAAATAATTAGATTTATTTTTTTTTCCAAAAATTAGAATAGATCCCAACCTCTGATCTAAAATGCTTTTTATTAAAACAATGATTCAGAAGATATCAATCTTTTTTATAGCATGGTGGGATCATATGTATCTTTATTTATTTTTTAATTTTTTTCATTTATTTTTTTTTTTTTATATAATTTTTTTTTCCAAATGTTTTCAATTTCACAATTTATTTTTCAAAAATCAAGAATATTGCGATTTCTCAAAGTCTATTTTGCTTTACTTAAACCCTCAAAGGAAAATAATTAAAGGAAATGAACGCACTATCTTGGAATTTACTCATGTTTGAAAAGGGACATCGGAACTGGCCATATGTACAGGGTCAATTTTTAGATATATGTAACCTTAAAATACCTCTTTGAAATTGAACTGCCTCTCTGAATAAGAATTTGAACAACAAGCTAGTCCACTAATATTAAGAAAATATAAATGTTTTTGTGCTCTTATATATGCTTTTTTGCTCTTCTCGGACTTTTGCTGTTTTTGTCAAGTGTAGCTTATTGTCAATTTGTTTTGAGGCTTAAAAGCAATGGATTCAAGGTTAATTATTTGTGACGTGGATAACTTCATTTTTTTTATTTATTTATTTTTTTAAATTAATTGTTGAAATATTTTATACGTTGTCGTTTTCACTCATTTTTAAAAACATAGGGTGACCATTGAGTACATGCATATGTACTTAGGTTTTTTTTTAACTGTCAAATGCTTCTTAATAATAGCGTGAACTACCCTAAATTGATGCCTATCAAATTTGTTGTGTATCTTTAAGTCAATCAAACATCATAAGCGCGATATTTGATGAATTTTAGCAAACAGAATATTGGTTGTTGTTAGTCCTTGTCGCCAATAACGATAGCCATTTTTGATGCCCATCATATCATTATTGTTCATTGAAATCCACCTAATCATGTGTCTATAAAACAGACATTGGATGATGTAAATTTTACAAATTTCAGTGAATATTTCTGTGGGATTCTTAACAAGTTTTACATAGCAGCATTAATGAAGCGTTAAATTTCACTCTTGTTAACGGATTCTTTTCATTCATTTTTAATGCAGTGTCTCGAATAGTCCTTGTTTTCCAGCTTCTCACAATGAAACTATGAGATGAAAAGTGGTCATGTAAACTAAAGATTCAATAATGCGAGAAAGTTAAGCTAATTAATGTCATGTGATATCTGTGTTGTATGTCATAGAGTTCAGAACAATATTTATTTAACAGCCCTCGTATATTGGTTTTTGTTCAAATTCATGTATTAAGATAAAGTCATTTTAAAAAAAATGAAAACAATGAATTTCAATGCATTAATTTTATTCAATTAATGTATTTTATTTACAATATCAATTACCATGCGAAAACGTAAAATGTGGTTTGAAATACATTTAATTTTTACAAGTACATGAAATGTAATTAGATCAGTACTTAGTATGGGAATTTGTAACCTCACCCCCATTCAAGTAGTTGGAACTCAGATTAACGATTGCTGAATTAAAACTTTCACGAGTTTAAGTTACAAAAAACCATGAGAATTCAAAATACTTCCTCATTTCGGGGTTAATTTAAAAAAAGATAATTATAATTTCAATCAAAAAGGAAAGGGCGCGAAGTTCTATAACAATTTTCAACAACATTTGATACCATTGAGTTCTTGATTTGGTATAAAGAGATTATACCAAAAAAAAAATTAATTCGTATAAAAACATCTTAATTAAAGGAAATAGATTCTTATTATAATCAACCCGAATGTCTAAAGATCAATTAACACCATTGAACGATTCCGGTAATAATTGCAGAGTTCAATTTTTTAAACTGGTATTTTGAAGCTAATATATTTAGATTTTATACTAATAAATTTAATTTTTTTCCAATGTATTTTCTTGCATTTTTTTTTTTTAAATTCCTCTCTTTGAATTTCGACATAAACGCACGTGCGCAGGCACTTGTTTCTAAAATAAATTTTTAAGCCATGGTATAATAATGGTTAAAAAAATTTTCAGAAACAAGTGCGCATGCCTGTGCATAAACCCCATTCCAAAAAGAAATGAGTGAAAAAATCCTCGTAGTTTCCCTTCAGAAGTTCAATAAGCAATTAAAATCTTTTTGAAATATATCATACATATATACATGTACACGCAAAATTATTTTTCCTTATTTTGCTTTAATAGGTGGATCCAGCTGGGAAATAATGAACTTGTCAACTTTAGAAATATATGTGCTTTAAATACATGTTAATCATATATTTTATTAGCTCACCTGAGCCGAAGGCTCAAGTGAGCTTTTCTGATCAAAATTTGTCCGTTGTCTGTCGTCGTTGTTGTCGTTGTCGTCGTAAACTTTTCACATTTTCATCTTCTTCTCAAGAACCACTGGGCCAATTTCAACCAAACTTGGTACAAAGTATCCTTGGGTAAAGGGGATTTAAGTTTGTTCAAATGAAGGGCCACGCTCTTTTCCAAGGGGAGATAATCATGACTTTGT